CAATCAACTGGTTTTCCTTAGATAGAAAACTTTGTATCAATTTGACTGTATGATCTGGTTGATCTGAGATGACATGTGTTGTGAATTTGGCACTATATAAATAAACTGAATTGAAAATTAAATTGAACAAATGGGGTAAATGTGTGTTCAGAGTAAACATTACATAGATGTCTGGTCCCTTGTTTTGGTGCCTTGACCCATTTATTTCTACTGTGTAGTGATGCTCACTTTAGTACAGCTCAGTCCATAGATCTGTTTTAATATTGGTTTTCATGAACGTAATCCAAACTGCAGGCACCAGGATAATAAAGCAAAGACGCTTTGTCGGCAGGTTTCAGCATTTTCAGTTAATTTTCAGTGCAATTAAGGACCACTGATTGGTGTAAAAAGAAATTATTTGCAGTGAGAGAGCAAAGCAATGTAATGTATCCGTCTAAAAATATATTTAGTTTTACAGTTTATTTTTGGCTTAACTGTGATCCAAGTATAATCCAACTGTGAGAAATTTTTTTTAAGGCTTATTTTCTTACAAAGGAAGAACAGTTAAGACTGTGCTGGGAAAATGAAGAAAATGAAAAAAGAATAGAAAAAAGGAAGATGGTATAAGATTCAAAAGGTTGGGGGAAATGAGAAGAGGAAGGAGAAAGGAGGCAAGAAAAATTAATTAAAATATTAAGGTTTGGCCACACAGGACTTAATGATACATTATTTGTAATTTTAAAAAAAAGATACAGGATGATGTCATCATTGTGGAGAAATGGAAACAATAGAACATGTATTAGAATGTGGGGCATGTGAAATAGAAAAAAAAAATGAATTAGAAAGCATGAAAGAAAAATTAAATCTCCCAAATATTTTGCTGAAGGATTCTGAAGTAAAAGTATAAACATTTTTATATATGTATATATTTTTTTATTAACACTAGTGACATAATTTAAGGCTGAAATAAATGAAAAGATAAATACGTTTTTCTGTAATAATTTCCATACCGGTAGGTGGCGGTAATGCGCACCTTCAGTTTATCGCCAACTGAAAAATACACTTTAAGAAGCAGAAGAGGGTAAGAGAAGAAAGTGGTATGCGCTGCAGGCAAACCACCCCCGGATTCCAAGAAGTGGCTTAACCCTACTTCTCAGCAGCCAATGGGAAAAAAGCTCACTCACCAGCTCAAAATGGAAAAGTGGCCAAATGGCTTAAAATCAAATGAAATCAACGCGTAGATGACGCGTATTTGACGTGTTTTCAACGCGTAGTTGACGTGCTCTCAACGTGTTAACTACGTGTGGCCAATTAAAAGGCAAAGACAACCGGTTGACAACGCATAAACAAATTTGTGTGTTTTTAAACCAGTCGGCCTTCCATATTTAACGCGCGTCTTGCGGTACTATCATGACGGGCGTAAAAGGTGGCACTTGTTGGTAAAAGACGGCGTAAAAAGTGGCGAAATCTCGAAAGAATGCGCGTTTTTAGTGGGTTAATTTCAATCTTAACGTGATAATACAATGCGAAAAGTGGCCTTCTTGGCTTGCTATACTTCTCGAGCAGCAGCGTGTTTGCGGCGCGTCACGCACGCCTGCTGCTCAAGGCGCTGCGGGACCTTTTGCTGCACCTTGACGCGCGTCAACCATTGACTTTGCATGTAAACTTGCTGCACCTGCTGGTGTGAATGCAGCATTATGTGACACTTTTAAGTGGTTATACGGAAATTCACAAGCTTTTCTAGTGGATATACAACGTATACCCGTGTATCACATAGATTCCACCACTGATTTCTAGTGCTAAAAGAAGGTCTCACCTTAGCAGATGATTATCAGATAGTGCAGTTATAAATTTTAAAGAATCTGTTTCACTTTTCTCTCCTCTGTGTCGCTGAGCAGTGCTGGAGATGGCAAAAGCTTAGTTTAATCCCCTTCACAGGTTGATGATTTTGCTGATGGGGTTGCTAGTTCTCAGCTTACTGCTTTGACAATGCAGCCCCCTTGAAAAAGGAAAGTGTTAAAAATAGAAAGCTGGCTTCTTGGTTTAATGAAGAGCTGCACTCTCTGAAGCAATATGCTAGGAAACTGGAGAGAAAATTGAGCTTCACAGGTCTATGGGAATCATACCTAGTGGGAAAAAATAGTTTACTGCTGTATAAGAGGACCCTCTGTAAAGCAAGAGCAGCATATTTCTACTCATTAATAGAGGAGAATAAGAATAATCCTAGATTTCTTTTTAATACAGTTGCCAAACTCACCTAGAGCTATAGCTTAGTTGAACTATTAATTCCACCTGCTGATTTTATGGGATTCTTTATAAATAAAAATGATCTTATTAAAAATAAGAACATTAGCACTCCTCTAGCTGCGATTTTTTTTTATCTCTGGAGGGTGGGACAGCATCTGAGGTAGCCATAGAATCTGAACCTGTTGGGATCTGGAGCTGTACCACCTTCCTCCAGCAGAGTGTGCCGTGGGTCCTCCTGAGCTGAGCCTCCAAAACACCTGTGGTCCATCTCATCATCAGAGGATCCACTGCTATATAACCTGCCTTCAGACCTTGCCTCAACGCCGCAGTGTTGATCTAGTTTGGTTAGCAACCTGAGCCTAGTAACCTGAGAATCTTTGCTATCTCCAGTTGAGATAAGATTCTAACTCTTCCTTGTTTTTGCCTCACAGGAATCCTGTCTCTCCTTGAAGCTCTGGATGAGCTTAACCTGCCTAGCCTGCCCTCGTGAGCCAAACCTGAAGACTCTTCTCTGGATTCCCCTGCAGCTCTTGGCTAAGAGCTGGAAACCAAAACCAAGGTCTGCCCTCAAAGTCAGAAGACGCTGAAGCAGTTATTGGACTCTGCTGAACAAACAGTCTCTGGACCCAACAGTTTCCTCTCTCAAAGAGAAACCCGGACGCCTTCAAGGTATTCCTCAGCAAACTCTAAGACTCATAACTCATCAGTCCATGTGCTAACTGAACTGTAATCCCTGCAGACTCCAGTGAACCTGGCCCCAGGCCCGAACCAGTTCCAGTGCAATATTCTTGTGCTTGTGTAATCAATAAACCTTGTTAAACTTTTCATCAGCCTCCGTTTGTGTTCTGCATATTGGGTTTATTCTGAAACCAATCATGACAGAACCCGGTTTAGACTGCTTTGATCCAGTTGAACTTTCAGAGTAAGGAAAACTATTGTCTTCCTCTAAGCCTTCAACTTGTATGTTAGATCCAGTTCCAACCAGGTTATTTAAGAATCAGAATCAGAAATACTTTAATAATCCTAGAGGGAAATTACTTAATTCAAAAGGTATTCCCTTTGATCTCCTCCTCAATTTTAAATGTGATTAATCTATCTCTGTTACAGGGATATGTACCAAAGGCTTTTAAGGTTGCTGGAATTAAACCTTTGCTTAAGAAACCGTCTCTTGAACCACATGACTTGTTTAATTATAGACCTATATCCAATCTTCCTTTCTTATCTAAAATTCTTGAGAAAGTTGTTGCCAAAGAACTGTGCAATCACTTACACCATAATGAAGTTATGGTGTAAGTGATTGCACACCTGAGGCCAAACTAAAGATAGTTTCGTGGCCTCACATAATGGACTTCTCTCTGTACTTGTCCTGTTGGATCTCAGGGCTGCATTTAATACAGTTGACCATAGTATTCTCTTAGAACAAAATGAATATTTTGTGTATATATGTAATATATATATATATATATATATTACATATATTACACTACCATCACTACCATTCAAAAGTTTGGGGTCACATTGAAATTTCCTTATTTTTGAAGGAAAAGCACTGTACTTTTCAATGAAGATAACTTTAAACTAGTCTTAACTTTAAAGAAATACACTCTATACAAAATAAATAAATGACTATTCTAGCTGCAAATGTCTGGTTTTTGGTGCAATATCTAAATAGGTGTATAGAGGCCCATTTCCAGCAACTATCACTCCAGTGTTCTAATGGTACAACGTGTTTGCTCATCAGCTCAGAAGGCTAATTGATGATTAGAAAACCCTTGCACAATCATTTTCACACACCTTCCTTTGAGCAGATTAAGTTTCTGGAGCATCACATTTGTGGGATCAGTTAAACGCTCAAAATGGCCAGAAACAGAGATTTTTCATCTGAAACTCGACAGTCTATTCTTGTTCTTCGAAATGAAGATTATTCCATGCGAGAAATTGCTAAGAAATTGAAGATTTTCTATAACGGTGTGTACTACTCTCTTCAGAGGACAGCACAAACAGGCTCTAACCAGAGTAGAAAAAGAAGTGGGAGGCGGCGTTGCACCACTGAGCAAGAAGATAAGTATATTAGAGTCTCTAGTTTGAGAAACAGAAGCCTCACAGGCCCCCAACTGGCATCTTCATTAAATAGTACCTGCAAAACACGGAGCTAGATGGGGGGGCCAGGGGTAGCCATGGCCACCCTTAGCCAATCATTTGCCACCCCTGTAGCCACCCCCCCTATAATAAGATGGTGGCAGCAGTAATACTCTCAAGTGGAATATTCAAAACATTTTATTTTTTTGTGGTTAATTATACACATCCCTATACTAACATCAAAGATGATAAGAACAGAATTAATGCTCTTTTCAGTACTAGATTCTGTGTTACAAGGGGTAAAGAGAAAATTATGTGTCTCTGCAAGTCATCAAGGAGTCTTCAGTGAAATCATAGATAAATAACAATTTTGATAAAAACTTACCAAATAATCAATTTACTTGGATATTAGTGCTTGTATATATCAATTATATGCAGAATGTTTATTGATACAAGTAGGTAAGTAATGACAATGGAAAAGATTTACGCCCCAGAATGCAAAACTGAAAGAATAAATAAAAATCATATCGGATTTATAGTCCCCACACTGCAGATATATTAGAATCTGTCCTTAAATTACAGCCAAACCCATTAACACAGTAACAGATAAAAAACTTTAGATAAACCAAACATTCCCACCACATATCTGACTCAATAACCATTAAAATAACTATTTTCATTAATTTCAGACGGAACTATTCACATACTTGTATTATATTAAATTGAACTTCCAATATTCACCACTGTTTAGCACCAAGTACCTTTTTCTTCTGATCACAGAGCAGCCGGCTTGCTTGGTCTCGCAATGAATCCTGGGATAACCAAGGCTACATAGGATACACAGGACCCGTCCTTCAAATCGGGCAAAAAGGAGGGGGCATTTGTTGGCCGCATAACGAGGAGTCTTGGAAACCAACTAGACCTCGGCACCGCACTATGGCATAATCGGCCTACGAATCTTGCCTTTGGAGGACGCATGCCATGAATTCGGATTCAGCCAGAGTGTGGGAGAGATTTAAGTCAGGACTCTCAACATGTAAATAAAACACAAAAAGAAGCATAGAAAAATTAAGGTATTCATAAAACATGCAAAATTGCAAAGAAGGATGTGTTTGTTCTTTGCATAAAATGCCTTTATTTTTAAATTTTCTTGGCAATTATGAGGTCGACTGCGTTCCTGAGCTGTTTGGGAAGAGTCATCTCCTGAGGCAAAAAACCTGAATCAGTTTCTCTGCTCTCAGTGGTTGAACATAAGATACATCTGCACATCTCTTCCAATGCCCAGCATGAGAGCCTCTACCAGTAGGAGAAACTTTCATTTGCATTTAACTTTGATGTTATGAACTGGTTTGTGCACACTTGATTCAGAAGGAAGAGTGGGACATATCATCGCTTTTCTGCTTTTGGTCATGCTCTCTGCTCTCTTTAGGACCACTTTTGGCAAAGGGGGAAGTTTCTCCACTGTAGACTCCTTCACTTTGCCTGGACCCCCCGATTTTGAAGCTGAATGGTTGGATGGCCTCAGTAGAGGAAGAGGGCAAGTGTTTTTAACAGCAAAGCCCTCAACAATCAGGTTGGCTCCCAAATACTGAGGGACATCTACTGCTGCCTGGAGATGAACAGTTACATGTGAAAGAACTTTGAACACCACAAACATAGCTGATTAAGCATATAGCTCGACCTGATCCATACCTGCCTATATATGAGTTCAAAGTCTCCTGTGTTTGCAGAACAATCAACTCTCCAGTCCAGAACCACTCGTAATGTGTCCTCCTGCACAGCAGCACAGAGCTGGGCAGTCACAGAGGTTGAGGGCGCCATTGTTGGGCTAGTGTTGATTTCTATTAACCATGGGTTCAGGCTAAGATCTGAGAAACATATTAGCAAAAATGTTTATGTTTAGAGTGGAAACTTGAATGTGTAGGTTTTTCATGCAAATACAACTCTTATCTATGTACACCAATCAGTGACTATAATTGACAATGTGCCTTAAAATTTAAGTTACTGTTAAAACAGCTTTCATCTGATAGATTTGGCCAATCGCAGGTGAGGATCTAGTGGTCGTGGTGGCATGGCCATCGCTAGCCAATCATTGGCACTCTGTGACCACCTGTACCAGGACATTTGCTGTTCCCTTTTGGGTAATAGGGTATATGCCCTACTCCACTACCTCCTGAACTTCTGCCAGCTCAGACTTAGACTAACATTTATTTATCCTTTGGTATTACTCTTTCAGGAAAATTCTGATATCAGTAGCTTATATAGAATACAAAGGGCAGAGTTAAAGCAAGATGCCATTAAAGATAAAAAATACAACATTCAATATAAACAGAGTGTATATAGTAAAAAAGAGTGTAAAAAATTAAATAGAAATTACTTGGTACTCTAGTTAATCCAGGTGTGTCTGGCCAGACTGATGCCAGACACCGCTGGATTAATTAATCTGTACAGTGATGAAAAATAGGAAACAAAGGAGCTGGCTGAGTTTTAAGAAGTAGTGGAGTTATGCACATAGTAGCCCATTCGCCACCTCTCGAAAAGACAGTTCTTCTCTGAACCAGAAGGTGGCAGCAGTGATACTATCATGTGTGATTAAAGTTAGTATAGCTACCAAAACAGACAACAAAACTACATAAAGAGTATTAATAACATACCACAATTAAAGATGTCTTAGTCAGAGTTACTGCTACTTTAATAGACATCGGCACTGATGCCCCATTTTGGAAGAAACTTTAGTGTTGTGATGTCTAACCATCACTTCTGTTCCTGTGAGATCATGATGTTATGCCTAACTGATATTATCATACGTTGTGGCTGGGATAAAACCAAGAGAAACTAAGTGGTGTATGTCATTTACAGGAGAATTAGGTCTAACAACATGTATCTTAGCAGAAATGCTACAGCTTTTGTTAGTCTTTGCATCATACCTAACATAAAATCAGCACCATACAGCTCAAACGTGTTTTTGCGTGACCCTATCTGATCCTGTACTGTCTGTAATGCGTGGATAATGCTTGTCTTCATTCCTGGGACAGCAACAGTCTCCCAGAGGGCTTCCTTCCCCTGCTCAGCCAGGAAGGCTTTAAGCTGGTCATCCAACCACATGTTGTGTGCTGGAATGTTCCAATGCCGTTGTTGAGAGGGCCTCAAGTGCCTCTGGATGGAGTTATTGCATAAGTGCACCGAGCTGCAGAATAAAAAAAATGCAACAAAAAATAATAAAAAGGGGGCCAAGATAAAATTAAAGGCTGTACATGACCCAAAAGGGCAAACTCATAAAGTTGGGTGAACAGTACATTTTTAAAGTTTTATTCTTAGACTCGATTAAAAGAACTAACGTCTCAAAAACAAGATTGAGTCAAAACTCTGATGTTGTTTAGGGGATACAACAGGATGCACAAATACGCAACAAAGTCCCAACTTTATTCAGTCTGACAATAGATCAGTAATCCTGACAGAGCATATTCATTTAGACTATATTAAATCCAAGACAATATGAACTCCTCCATTTATCTTATCATGAAAGGATTCAGTTAAAGGGTTGAATACTTTTCCTTTCAGTCTGCTGGGTTGTGTGAAACCATCAAACTCTCCATTCTAAATGGGTTTGCTCCCTGAGAATTAGCAGGTGAAGACACTGTACCCAAAGGATCATAGAGACCTGTCGCTACACTGTGGGAAAATTATGTTTTTCTTCGTTCGCCTCTACACCTGCCTTGTTTAGACTGACGGGAACACAGGTGCAGAATACAGCAGTGCAGATGTAATAAGATTGTACACTACCATTTAAAAGTTTGGGGTCACCCAAACAATTTTGTGTTTTCCTGAAAAATCACACTTATTCACCACCATACGTTGTGAAATGAATACAAAATTGAGTCAAGACATTGACAAGGTTAGAAATAATGATTTGCATTTGAAATAAGATTTTTTTTACATCAAACTTTTCTTTCGTCAAAGAATCCTCCATTTGCAGCACCTTTGGCATTCTAGCTGTTAATTTGTTTAGGGTAATCTGGAGAAATTGCACCCCACACTTCAGAAAGCAGCTCCCACAAGTTGGATTGGTTGGATGGGCACTTCTTGCGTTCCATACGGTCAAGCTGCTCCCACAACAGCTCAATGGGGTTCAGATCTGGTGACTGCGCTGGCCACTCCATTACCGATAGAATACCAGCTGCCTGCTTCTGCTATAAATAGTTCTTGCACAATTTGGAGGTGTGTTTAGGGTCATTGTCCTGTTGTAGGATGAAATTGGCTCTAATCAAGCGCTATCCACTGGGTATGGCATGGCGTTGCAAAATGGAGTGATAGCCTTCCTTATTGAGAATCCCTTTTACCCTGTACAAATCTCCCACCTTACCAGCACCAAAGCAACCCCAGATCATCACATTACCTCCACCATGCTTAACAGATGGCGTCAGGCATTCTTCCAGCATCTTTTCATTTGTTTTTTGTGTCTCACAAACGTTCTTCTTTGTGATCCAAACTTGGATTCATCCGTTCACAACACTTTTTTCCAGTCTTCCTCTGTCCAATGTCTGTGTTCTTTTGCCCATCTTAATCTTTTTCTTTTATTGGCCAGTCTCAGATATGGCTTTTTCTTTGCCACTCTGCCCTGAAGCCCAGAATCCCGCAGCCGCCTATTCACTGTAGATGTTGACACTGGTGTTTTGCGGGTACTATTTAATGAAGATGCCAGTTGGGGACCTGTGAGGCGTCTGCTTCTCAAACTAGAGACTCTAATGTACTTATCTTCTTGCTCAGTTGTGCAACGCCGCCTCCCACTTCTTTTTCTACTCTTGTTAGAGCCTGTTTGTGCTGTCCTATGAAGGGAGTAGTACACACCGTTGTAGGAAATCTTCAATTTCTTGGCAATTTCTCGCATGGAATAGCCTTCATTTCTAAGAACAAGAATAGACTGTCGAGTTTCAGGTGAAAGTTCTCTTTTTCTGGCCATTTTGAGCGTTTAACTGACCCCACAAATATGATGCTCCAGAAACTCAATCTGCTCAAAGGAAGGTCAGTTTTGTAGCTTCTGTAACGAGCTAAACTGTTTTCAGATGTGTGAACATGATTGCACAAGGGTTTTCTAATCATCAATTATCCTTCTGAGCCAATGAGCAAACACATTGTTCCATTAGAACACTGGAGTGATAGTTGCTGGAAATGGGCCTCTATACACCTATGTATATTGCACAAAAAAACAGACATTTGCAGCTAGAATAGTCATTTACCACATTAGCAATGTATAGAGTGTATTTCTTTGAAGTTAAAACTAGTTTAAAGTTATCTACTTTGAAAAGTATAGTGCTTTTCCTTCAAAAATAAGGACATTTCAATGTGACCCCAAACTTTTGAATGGTAGTGTAGAAAATTCAGAATTTGTGTAAATCAAAACAATGTATTAAGCATAATAGAATAAATCATACAGAAAGAGGGAAAACTGTACAATCGCTAGAACTAGAACTCAACACAACATTTTCCAGGTCTTGTGTTAACTAAGAAGCTGAGTCGTCACTGTGTTCCTGTGATGCCTGATAGTCACCAGGGTGAGGGGGTTGGTAAAGAATTCACATATCCTTTGTATTTCTCTGATATTATATGTTATGAACATGTGGTACATTTTCCTAAAAGGTCTAGGTTAACAGTGAAGGAGCAGCAGACACCAACATCTCAGGTGGAAAAATCAAGAGGAGAAGAGAAAGTTCTACTTCTAACAAATCTGGCCTAAATGGAAGAAGGGAAGACAAAAATACCTTTGTTCATAGAAAACAAAGGGAAATCTAACTGTCAGTTTTTCAAACCGGAATTAATGGAGTAATTTCAAAGAATACTCTGGTCATCAGACTAGTTATTCAAAGAAAGATGGACAAAAATGTCAGTCTCTATATGTGCAAAGCTGCTAGATAAGTCAACGGAATTTGCATTTTTTTATTTCAGTGAAAGGTATCCCACAAAAATATAACTTAGGATGTCCTAAATACAAATAAACAACTTTCAGATCACAATTTATTTAAAATGGTAAAATTTGGACTTTGTGTTTATCCTTCATAAACTTTTGTATGTATTTCTCAAGATGAAATAAAAAACTGGCTGCAGAAGTGAAGGATATGGAAAACACAGATTTCTATATATCCTGTGGTGAAACATTTTTAGGTTAGGCACAGATGTAAAACCAAATCTCTCTCCAAAACATCATATGCAAAGGGCTCATTCTAGGGCTGCAACAACGAATTGATAAAACCGATAAAAATCGACTTTTAAAAGCGTTGGCAACGAATTTCATCATCGATTAGTTGTGTCGCGCGATTAATGCGTCATCCGCCGCCCTCATCACATCCACTTGACTGAAACGGGGGAAGAAAAAAAAATACGGCAGAGCGAGTGAGCGCCGCAGGTGCAGTGTTGCCAACTCACGGACTTTTCAGACCCCTCCAGCGACTATTTTTCAAAAAAGCGACTAGCGACAGATCTGGCGACTTTTTACGGTGTCACTGGCGGCTTTTGGAGACTCTTACGTGAAAGCATCTATCGTTCCTACTCTGCCGTGGGGCGCCTCCCCCATCCCAACCCCGTTCTCCCTCTCCCGCAGGAGTCCCTCTCAGCACTGCAGTCAGAGCCGCAGGATGTTTACCCTCAGCGTCCAGACTGCAAATGAAGCGTGCATGCGCCGGGATTGACGGCGTTAATTGATCACAATAATTAAAATAAAATAATTTGTAAAGTGAAAAAAGTCGTAACATGCAACTTTTGTCAAAACAAATTAACATAACACGGAACTACCATGTTTGTTTGGTTTTAAAGTGGGGAAACGTAATGTTAGTTTCTCAGGTAGCTCATCTGATGCTTTCCTTACCTTGTTAGTAGGTTACAGACAGTGATAAGGTTGGCTACTTATTTTACTTTTAATTTCATTTGAATTAGCTTAAGCAGCGTTTATATTTACTTTATAAATAAATTAACTTGCAAATTATGATGGCAAGGCTTTTAAAGTTTAAATCTTCTGGCAAACATAAAGTAAAGAAGATCCTGCAATTTATGGAAGTAAAGCAGAATAAAATCCAGCAAGATCAGTAATATGTCAATTAATTATTTGCCACATTCCAATGTAAATATCTGTCTTTGGAGGATGTGTTTTTTAGCACCCTTAGTTCTCTCATTTTTATTCCAAATACAATTTATAATTTGAATCACAGGGCTATTTTTATCTCTATGGTTCAGTATTTTCTCAAGTAGCAACTTTAACTGCTATACTTTCTTGTCTTAAAAGGCAGAACTCTTCTAGTCTAAAAAAACTAATTTGTTGAAATGGGGGGGCCTATTGTTTGATCCCCTTAGGGGCTTTTAAAAACAAAAATGCCTGTCTTTTTATGCGCTTTATGAAACAAAGTACCCTATATTTTGTGGATGTACAGCTACATTTCTCATGTAAGTTTGCGTAGTTTTAACACAAACATTTATTTTTCATATTGCACCAGTACAGTTAATGAGCAACCTGTACTTGTGTGCTTCTTTGTTCTGTCTAAAATGTTTATTTTGGAATAAAGAGGTTAATATAAAAAATATTTTTTGTCCGATTAGTCGATTAATCGAAAAAATAATCGGCCGATTCGTCGATTTTTAAAATAATCGTTAGTAGCAGCCCTAGCTCATTCCTTCCTCTGTGTTTCACTAATACATCTTATTTTCTCCAGTGATGAAGATACTATCTTACCTGTCCAGTGTGTCTAAAGAGAAAGGTTGGGTGGAAAAGCGCAAATAGCACTTTTTGTAGAACCACACAGTCAGAGGGTTCCAGTCAGTGACCAGAAACCATTGGCGAATATCAAACTTGGTACCATGGACCAGAAAGGGCTGCTCAATGTACTTCTGCACCACCCACCTACTGGGGCTGGTAATTGCTGAATACTTGTCCACTGGCCTGAGGATCTGATCAAGATGTTTTACACATTTTATGCCTTAAAGAAAAAAAAACTGATCAGATATAATGTTTTAGATAGTATTTCAAGTGTCCAGTCAGCATCCTACCTCGGCCCCTGGACATTGCCACAGGTTTGATAATCCAGATGTTTTGTTTGCCATCGATGCCCAGCTGTGGGTTGACCTTCTCCAGTTGCTGCAGCATGGCCTTACAAGAATTGACCAGATGTTTGCTTCCTTTAATCTGTACTCCATCACTGAATAAGGAAGCAGAGAGAGTGTTGTTAAGATCCTGATGGGCGCTTTCTCTGGACAGATATTTCCTTTCAAACGCCCACTGATGTGTACTCACTGAGCAACCAGATAATAACTGTTTAAAAACTCTGCCCACTGATCCTGTGTGAGCGTCTGTGGTGTTTTAAAAGTTTTATCAATGTCTTTGTGCTCCAGCTTTTCCAGGTACTCATGGCAAACTTTTAGGGCGCTGTAAATCATTTGGGAAGGGAGCGATTGCTCAGAGCAGTGGTTGATCTCTTTCTTCTGCCCTGATTGTGAAGAGGGACAATGACATCTTCAGTCAGATGAGCAAGTGTAAGAAATGTGAATATAACCCCTCAAACCTTTTAAACTCTCATTTTACTACTTCCTGAGAATGCATGATAAAAAAAACAACAAGTGGTGCGTAGTTTTGAGGAAAATAAAGATGCAGGGTTTTCAAAGCAGGTTAAGATTAAAGCATATTCGTGTGATAATCCAGACCTGAATCCAATCGAAATCATTGATTACACTTAACAAAGTGCTCTCCATCCAGTCTGATTAAGCTTGATTTACTTTGCAAAGAAAAATTGGGAAATAGTGTCTTGATTTCCAAAGCTGGTGTGAGGTGATTCTCCAATTGTTCACTTTCCATTTCAAAGTAGGTTTGCATAAAAACCCTCAGAAAATACACAAAATCTTGTGACGAAATAAAAGCAAATGCTGGAGGCAAACTTGTGAGAAATAATCCTACTATGAAGATCCTGGTCTCTCTCCACAATTAACCTCAGAAGACTGGTGCAAGCTGTTCGCCTGAAGTCCTCTAGAGAGGACAAAGAGAGAACGAAATCTCCATGCGCAACTTTAGACCCCATGCAGTGTAAAGAAAATGATTTGCACTGTTGATGTGTTGATGAATGCAAAGAAAAAAAAGAAGAAAAAATCTGACCAATGAAGGCCTGCCTTTCATCCTCCTCTGTAAGGCTGTAACACCGAGGGAAGAAGGTGCCTGGGTCTGCTGTGTCAAACCAGTGAAGGTTCCTTAAGTTCACACACAACCCCACCTGTTAGTGTGCAGGAAGGTGATAGGGGGTGAATGAGAAGGGTACATGTAAAAAATGTCTTTTTTCTGATAAAAGCTGAGAAGCGATTGCAAACTTACTTTAGTGGTAAAAGTGCCTGCATTAGCGAAATGATTGATGATTTGGTTTTTCTGCAAGCTGTTTGGGTTGATTGCATCTCTGGTCCAATAGAAATAAACCATCTCATTCTTCACAAGGCGAGACTAAAATAATAATAAACAGGTATAAAAGGGGATGGGAAGGGCCACTGGGCTTTAAAGCTGAAGTCTGTAAGATTTTAAAAATCACTTTTTTGTCATATTGGCTAAAACTGTCCCTATGCCCAGACAGCAGTACATGTGATATGTAACCTGTGAAAAAAACTGCTTCAATTGGTGCCGCCTACTGCCTGTATTTCAATCTGGAAAGAATAATTCGGGACGAGTCAAAACAACCAATCACAGCCAGAGGAGCGTCTGATGGAGTGTCAATCACAGCTCACACACGCTGAATCCCGCCCCCCCCCCTTTTGGTCGCATGGTAGCGGTAGATGCTGTGAGAGGGGTGGAGCTTGGAGGTGAGGCATGAGTGAAGCAGAGAGGGTGGGGGAGTGGCGTGAAACCTGTTTTTCTTCAAATTTTCAGTCGAAGTCGGCTCTCTTCTCAATGTTACAGACTGCAGCTTTAAATACAAAGAGCTTTGCTATGATGGTTCACAAAAGAAACTGAGGCTGCAGTTACCATGAGACTGTGCAGTTGATCTGGATTTGGTTCTTTCTCAGCATCCTCTAATGTGTCTATGAGGAAGAATTAACATTCAAGAAATCATCTATAAAATGTTGGCCCTAGCAGATGCTTTAAGCTTACCGTTATATTTCAAGGAGCTGGTTCCACTGCTGTGACGCTTCTGGGCCTGTTGCTTAGAACCATACATGCAACGTTCAATCCAGCCCCTTGCCCTCAGAGCTGCCCTGATGACAGGATATGGACCTTGGATGGAGAATATCTTCTTCATCTGACACAGCAAAATCATAAGACATTGTTTCCCTCTGGGAGCAATCAGAGTTTTGGTCCTAATTAGACAGCATAGAGAAATTGCAGCCCACCTCAATGGCTTTGCCAACCAAAATCCTGGCCATCTTCAGTCTGTCTGTGTTAAGTTCAGGTAACTCAGCTCTGACCTCAGGGAATTTTCCTGACACACAATCATATAAACAAACCATTTTTGACCAAGTCCAGATGTACAAAAGCAGGTTAGAGGACACCGAGGGTTATTTTCAAAGAGATGCGAGAAATGTCACAAGATTATTTGGATCAGAAATTCTTATCTATAATTTACTAGTTAGAGGTATAAATCAAAGTTGTATCATTTAGGTTAGAAATGGCAATACTATACAACTGACAGCAACCCTTATTCCCAAGGGAAACTACTTCTTAAATTGCGTTAGGTCCACCCTCTTACACCTTTGGCATAGAAACAGACAGCAGGTTGTGCTCAACTAAAAGAAAACACATGTCTCTGACTGCATTAACAAATATTTATAAGTTTTAAGCTGCCTCTGACAGCTGGGGTAGTTTATAAGCCCCTATATCCATGTGCATCACAGCATTAAGTGGGTCAAACTACTTTGTAGGAGACGGCTCGGCTCCACCTGAAAGATATCATTCAGCACCATATAAAGGTGTGACGCTTTCTTTATGTTATAGCTGAGAAGCAAAATGTACACAGCTACCAGCCTGCTCATTAGACACGTTCACCTCTTTTATACACTATGAAATCACCACTACTTTCCTTGTTGTTTACTAAAACAGACCACCTAATTTTCTGTAATTTTCTGTCACTTACCCCAGCAGCCATTGCAATAGGAGTTTCTGTGTTATCAAACACCATCATTTTAGACATGGGCATCTCACCTTTTCTTTTGTTGTGGTGAAAGTTGTAAGTTTCTTGAAACTGAATTTCTTGAAACTTGAACCTGAAAGTTGTGGTGAACTGAACTGCAGGAACTTCTTGTGCCGGTGTTTAAACTTGTTTACTGTTACTATGGCAACCCCCTTCACAGTTGATGCCTAGGAACATCATAGAGGTGTTTATATGTAGAATCATTTGGTCAAGTTTATTCTTTCTGATAAGGAAAAATTAACGTGAAAATTTTTGGACAAATAAGTTATATTTTCAAAAAGCATAAAGAAGAACCACTATTGTACTGTATTGTAGCACACAAAGCTCTGTAACTGCTTTAATATTGTCCATATCATATCATCAAAAAAAGTACATTCAGACATTTACTGTTCAAAAAGCAGCGGTTGGAAGCACTATTTAATATATATATATTCAGTATAAACATTCCATATGTTTATACCACTATGTCTCTCGGCTGGCCTGGGAGCGCCTAGGGCTTCCCCAACAGAGCTGGAGGAGGTGTCTGCAGAGAGGGAAGTCTGGGAGTCTCTGCTTAGTCTGCTGCCCCCGCGACCCGGTTCCGGATAAAGCCGGAGACGACGAGTACGAGTACGACATTTCAGTATAAACATCCCATATGCAAAGTACATAAATTATTCCTGAAAATTTACACTTTTATGATTGATTATTTATACCTATCAAATTAATTAATGATAGTACATAATTACATTATTTTTAGATATTGATAATTATGAAATTAATTATTATTTTTTTTTTTCATTTATTTGATAGGGACAAGTATGTTTCATGAATCATGTCACACACTACAACATGTTAGCTAAGGCTAATTCTCAATGCCTGTCCCCAGTTAGGCTTTTACACAAAACACAGTGACTGTACACAAGAAACAACAGAACAAATTACACACTAAAACATCACAGAAATGAGATCAGGTCAGTTAGATTATTAATGTTCACATGTCTGATCTCTCAATAAAAAGTCTTTAAGTTTATGTTTAAAAAGGACCCAGTTCGACTCAGTGGTGTAGTCTACATTATTGTAGTGGGTATACTGTTCTTAGAAATAAGAATGTCAGTAAGTGCAATGTAATTGACAATTTTTTTTATTTTTAAGCATATTTGACATTGCTTAATACCTCTGTTGCTTACATTTGAATCAATGAACAACAAACTGTACTACAGTTGGCTTTGTATTGAAAAGACGTAGAATCTATAAAACAGTACAAAATGTATAAAAAGTTCCAGACATGTTTGTTTTGAGGCTCCTTATGTTTCACTTGTCTTCTTGTTTCTGTTGCAGAGTAGTGGTTTCTTAACCATGTTGTCACAAACTTCCTAGGTTCAAGAAGATTAACAGGAGGCCCATTTATACTGATCCTCATGAGATGACTTATATTTGACAACAACAGAGAAGATCTTTTATCTGTACAGATATTGTTCATTAAGCTGAACCCTCTTTCACACTCAGCTGTGCTACATGGAATGGTTTGCATACAAGTGATCAGTGGTTTAAGGTTTTCAGGCTCCCTGCTATATCTTTTCTTTGCCTTGCAGCTATATTTGCTGTGATCAGTGGAATTAAAGTAGTTTTAATATGTTTTTAAGTGGGAAAATCCACCTGAAAACTTCATCAGTGCAGTCAGTTCATCCAGATTACCATCCTGCCTTGCAATATTATTTCTGTCGGAGCCGCTCAAACCCCCCCATACCGGCGGTGCACTATCAGTAGCAATCCCATTCAACAGCAGCCTATGGCCCGGTCACCTCCTCGCCATAGGCGGACCTACTGGGGTGGCATAGGGTGGCAAATGCCTCCCTAAATGACAGCCTTGCCACCCCTGCTGCCACTCCAGTTGGTGGTAGGGGTGGCCAGGCTTATAAATTATGGATAATTTGAGAATTACGACCGCTAATTTCCAGTGTCGGACTGCAGTGAATGCAGCACGAGATGACGCAAGAGCGACTGAGACTGATTTGTTTTGAAAACCGAGTGGAGCAAAGCGAGGGAGCCCGGGGTCATGGGGAGAGGAGACACGGGATGGAACAGGTAAAACTGATTAACTATCTATCGAGAAATTAAATCATAATGAAAGCACAATGTTGCTAGCATAGCTGCAATGCTGATTTTGAGATGATAAAAATCAGGTTGCAGAACGTTATTTCTCCAACTATGATGTTAGTTAGGCCTGACGTCAGAAAAGAGACTATCAGTTTGGTTGAACTCAAATCAAAACGCGCAAAGGCATTTGATCTAAATAAATGTGTGAAGCGTTTTGCTGAGCAACATGGAAATCGCCACATTCAGCTGTTATAGTCATGTCAACTTTATGTTATGCTCTTTGGTGAGCCTTTACAGAGCTGTTACATTTTGTTTTGGCACCTGAGAAAATCTGATATTTTCTTTAATAAAACCAAAAGTGTTAAAAGTAAAGTTAAAAATGTGATACTGGTGTAAATCCTGCTTAATACAAAGCAGTGTTGTTGTTTCTTTTTTTTGTATATATAGTATGAAACTATCCAGAAATGACCTGTATGAACCTACTCACAAAATGTTTTGTACTTTTTCAGACTGGAGGCAAAATGTATTTTTATGTTTCTTTTTTTTTCAGATTTGTGGAGATTTTAATGTAACATAGAGTACCTGCCTTTTTGTTGATACAGCAGCTCTATCTACAGCATATCTACATGCATGAAATGTCCCTTTCATGTTGCTGTAACTGCTGTATGTCAAGTTACTGAGGAACAAATGGGGTAAATGTGTGTTCAGAGTAAACAATACATAGATGTCTGGTCCCTTGTTTGGGTGCCTTGACCCATTTATTTCTACTGTGTAGTGATGCTCACTTTAGTCCAGCTCAGTCCATAGATCTCTGATGGGTAACTTTTTCTTTCTATAGTTTCTTCTTGTGCAAATGCTGCAAAGCTGCCTCTCTGACAGTCAATCTCACACATCTGCGACTCAGCACCTGTGTCTTGCCTTAATACCTGTGATAATGCCCCTCTAGAAGTAGTGTTTTCATTCTTCTATCTCCTATTAAGTGAGATCACATTGTACGATGTATTACCAATAGGAACTGTTTCACATGAAACACCAAACTGTGATAACTGTGATTAAATTAATTGTAAAAAAAAATGCCATATGTTGCCACCCCTCAAAAATTCCTGCCCCCCCTCTCGCCACCCCGTAAATATTTTTCTAAATCCACCCCTGCTCCTGTCGAACCAGCTACCAGTTTTAGTCTTAGACTTAGACAGATTTATTTAGTCATTTTGTATATACAAGTGTAAACAAAAATAAATTTTGGTTAAAACAGATCTCTAGACAATTTCATTTTTAAAGTGCACCCTTGATAAGGTAAGCAGCAGTTGTTGTTGAGCTGCTAGTACTGCCTCCAGCTCCTGAAGCACTGCTTCTCCTGGCTCAGGGGAGGAAGAGGACGATGATGACGATGCTGTGGGTAGCCCCCTGGGTTGAAGAGGCTGACGTGGTTGAAGCAGCAGTGGTGCCATCGGCAGGTTTAGCAGCGACAGACGATGCTGGAGAAGGTGTGGAAGCTGGAGGAGGCCGGAAGGAGCCAGCTGGGGATGTTTCAGCATTTGGCAGGGAAGCTTCTAGAGCGGTCTCCTCATTTTCACCTGCAGAGGGCTGTGCTTCCCCTCTAGATGCTGAAGATTGCCTGGGAAACAATTTCACACAGAGCTCCTTGTTCCTATAGGAGCGGTACAGCATCCTCCCCCCTCCCAATCGGTAGAATTATTAGACAGCATGGGATTAACTTCCACTGTTATGCTGATGATACCCAGCTATATCTGTCTATAAATTCAGATGAAGCTAACCCATTACATAGATTACAGGCATGTCTGAAGACATAAAAACCTGGATGACTCTTAACTTTCTGCTTCTGAATGCAGACAAAACAGAAGTTATAGTCTTTGGACCAAAGTCTTTGAAAAAGAAGCTGATTAGCCAGTCACTTCATTTGGATGGGATTAAACTGATTTCAGATAATAAAGTAAAAAATCTTGGTGTTATTTTCGATCAGGACCTGTCATTTAAATCCCATATCAAAGAGGTTTCTAGAATTTCCTTCTTTCATCTGAGGAATATTGCAAAAATGAGAAATCTCCTGTCCAGGGGTGATGTTGAGAAACTAATCCATGCATTTGTCACTTCAAGGCTGGACTATTGTAATGCAGGAAGTCCACAAGCTGTAGTTAAAAGCCTTCAGCTGATCCAAAATGCTGCAGCCAGAGTTCTGATGAAAA